TGAGTAAGGGTCTCACTCTGCCACCCAGGCTGGAGTGCAGTGGCATGCTCACGGCCACTGCAGCCCCAACCTGCTGGGTCAGGCGATCCTTCCATTTCAGCCTCCCGAGTAGCTGGGACGACAGACACACACCACCATGCCTGGCTAATGTTTTGCTTTTGTAGCGAGGAGGTCTATATGTTGCCCTAGCTGGTCCCGCATTCCTGGGCTCATGCAGTTCTCTCTCCCCAGCCTCCCAAAGAGCTGGGATTACAGGTGTGAGTCATTGTGACTGAATGTTTCTTATACATGTGTTTTGATGATTAAATAACATTTACGTAAAATACTTTTGAACTACTTTGAAAAGTTAACTGTACCATCATCTCTATTATTGTGTGACTTGAGACTTTCTGAGAACAATAGGGAGATAAATATGAAAGCACTTAGTTATATTCATCAAATGTAACAACGAAGACAAAACAAGACATATCAATAAAGTTTTATGTTTTTCAAATTAGTAATGAGTATAGTTCCATACATTTCCACTTATCATCCTTAGCTCCCTATAATGCCTTTGACATCTTGCGTCTTCAGCTTGTTTCAAATTTGCTTAAAATTTTGTCTGAGCCAGGCACGGTGGCTCATACCTGTAATCCCAGTCCTTTGGGAGGCAGAGGTGAGAGGACTACCTGAGCCTAGGAGTTCCAGACCAGCCTGGGCAATATAGTGAGACCTCATCTCTACACTGAAAAAATTAGATGGGTGTGGTGGCTCGTGTCTGCTTGGAAGGCTGAGGTGGAAGGATCCCCTGAGCACAGCAGGTTGAGGCTGTGGTGGCCATGAGCATGCTGCTGCACTACAGCCTGGGTGACAATGAGACTCCAACTAAAAAAAAAAAATTTTTTTTTGTTTGGTGGCAAGCGGCAGTGGGTCTCTCCTGTAATCCCAGTGTTTTTTGTTATTGTTGTTGTTGTTTTTGAGTTGGAATCTCACTCTGTTGCCCAGACTGGAGTGCAGTGGC